CAAAGTTTTATGGATCGTTGACATAGAAGTGTATCCTACTATAAGGGCAATATGAGTTGATGCGTATAGTGAAGGAGGACTTGGAAAGAAAACACGGCGCAAGGTGGGTCATAAAGATAATTGATGACCGACGGTATTAAACATTATACCACGATTTGCATGCAGCAGGTATAAATTATGTCATAATTTGCAATTCATTTCTTTAGTTGCATAAGTATTATTTCTCTTATTAGAGTATGTGTTTCTTTAAATAGCATATTATTTGAATCCTCGATACCAATATAGACTCGATGTTGGAGATGATGGTACTCTTATACGTGCTGTACATAATGTATACTCTAAATTAGACCCTGCATCACCAGTAGTTGGCCAATTTGGAAATGAGGTACACAATTACTTAAATTATAATAATTACATTGTTGGATTAAACTAACACGATTTATTGAATTCAGCTAACATGGTTTAAAGATGCAAGAAGAACTTTTGGAGAACCAACATCAGTTGTTGCTCGAACAAAAATGTCTCCTAGTGAGTGTAAACATATTTCACTATCAGTTTATAATAGAATTTTTTGGAGATATTAGTCTTATCAACATTGTTTTTCATTATAGCTGAATGGTGGATCATGTATGGGACTGATGCACCAACTATTAGAAAGTTAGCAATCAAAGTATTATCACAAACAGCTTCCTCATCTGCTTGTGAAAGAAATTGGAGTACATTTGCACTCATACACACAAAGCAAAGAAATAGGTTAGCTCATAGTAGGTTGGAAAAATTAGTTATTGCTACTACAACATGAAGCTTCAAATTCGAGATAAGGAAGCAGAAATAGATCATGTCGACCGTGGTGACCCACTAGATGTGTTTGATATTGTTGTTGAAGATGATGATACAGAGGGTAACCAACTTTATCAATGGATTAGACCTCTTCATTTAGATGATGATGAAGGCAACCCAGCTCTAATAGTTGATGAACAAGCGCGTAATGAAAGGATAAATGTAGAAAGAGTATTAGAAGATGAGGTGGGATCTAGCAGCGCTGACTCTTTCGAAGAACTTTTGCGCCCAAGACTAAGAAACACTGGAATTCCAACTTCTTCCAATCCTACACAACCACAAGATTATGCTGATACTAATGATAACTCTAGTACAAGATCAGGAGACTCACCTACCACCGGAGGTGGAAATGATGAAGGATATAGTGGAGCTGGAGGTAGTGATGGATATGAAAACTATGTTAGACCACCTCCCGGATTTATGAGTCCCTTCATGGGTGAGGCTAACTTCACGCATGCAACACAAGATAAGGACCATGGCAGTAGGTGGGCAGGACCAGGAATTGGTGCCATATGGAAGGACTATACGCGTAGAGAAAGAGGCAAGAGGACTTTGTCAAGTCAAGAAAATGACTCGTTATCTATAACTTCGGACTCTGTTGGAGTGAGAAGTAGTAACTATGGTTATACTCATAACCAACCATTTCCCTACCCTTCATATCCCATTTTTGTTAGGATGGAATCGAGCGACTCATGGAAATAATCCGAGACTCAATCTTCAAATGATTTTGCTTATGGATAACATCAACCAATCTTGGATCCATATGGGTGGCATGTTAACAATTACATGCAAAACTATTTTGGGGATTTATCATTTAATGACTACTCTTCACAATATACTTACTCTACACATAGAGATGATGAAGATAGTGAAAATTTTGAACCTCTTAGGAACTCTATGTGGTACTAAGTCACTCATGTATCTTACCATACAATGTATAAAGTGTAAAATATTGTACTAATCATTATATATAAATGATTATGGTGTTTTAAACTTCTTTCATTAATTACTACATATTTTCTACACTCACAATATTTGCCAGCTCGCTATATAATCAACTTAAATTAGTTAAATCCATCATGCAATGCATTTCCTTCCAATGTTTTGTGATAAACTAATAGATAATTGACTAAATAAACATCCTGCAAAGTTTCAATAAAAATTTCCAAGTTTTTCTTACAATTTCCATGATTTTTATTCAATTTTTATCGATATCAATAATATCCCAATATTTCCATCGAAATTTCCGTGTTTTTTGACTACCGATATTTCCGATATCAGCGATATTTTAGACCTTGGTTTTAAGACATTAGGGACAATGTCCAGTTTAAGTTGGGGGTGAAGATTGAAAAAAGAAAAAATTGAAAGTTTTCAAACCTTTCAACAACAACTAAAAATCAGAGTCAGTTTGTTTTGTTAGTTTAATTTGTTTTGTTCTTAGTACAAAAACATAAGGGGTGTGCTATCCACACACCTCTTTTTACTTATCACACACCCCTTGTTAATTTTATGTCTGTTGATCTTCTTCAATTCATCCGATCCGACGGCCGAAAACTAAAAAGGTGTGGGAGAAGTTAAAAGGGGTGTGTGGATATCACACCCCAAAAATAAAAAAATAAAAAAAATCTAAAAACATTGTCTTTTTTTTTTTTTTTTGTTAATTTCATGACCAATGATATCATTGGATTGAATTTGAACCATGGTGATTTAGAAAGTAGTAAGCATGTTTAGGTGAAACTCCTTATTCCTTTGTTAGCTTTGTACATGTTCGATTATCCTTGAAAAACACAAATGCACATAGCCTTGTTGATGTGAACCTAAAGCATGACTCAAACGCTTCATGTTTGAATATAGTGACCTAATGTAACCCTTGTGAGTCTTTGAGCCTAATATGATTGACCTATCATGCATCAATCACATTTATTCTCATGCATATGGTCTCATTCTTACATATGTATCTCTAGAACTTGCTTTATATCTCATCAATTCATGTAATAACTTGGAAATGATATAGGCTAGCTATTTTTGGATTGTTTGAGCCTTCCATACCTACCTCATATGATAATTTTATCCTAGAAACCCCATTAAATTAAGCCTTTCCATTGTTAGCCATATCTCCTTACCATGCTCCATTATTGGAGTTGAGCCCTTACAGATATATCCATCCTTATTGTTTTGAGAAAGTGTTAGAGAGATTGTGCTATTGGAGCTTCGTAGATTTGTTGGCTATTTGTTACTTGTTACAACTCGTACCTAAAAATATTACATTTAATTCCTGAGACATGTGTAATGACTATTTTACCCCTGAGTGGGTGTCTTAATTAATTTATCGAGCCTCGACTTGAGAATTATATTTTGCTACTTTCTTAAGTTTTATAATCTTGTCTTTGTACGTAAGTTGTATGTCAAAATCGAATTTGGAATCAAGACCACGAGGACCAAATTGATAATTTTACAACTTTGGGGGGCAATTAGGTAATTTCACTTGAAGTTTTTAAGTGGGCCTTAACCCACATCCGGCCCACCCTCTATCTCTCCCAACCTTTTCATTTTTCTGAACACTCTCTAACTTTCACAACTCTCTTTCTCTAGAGCTCTGTGAGCTCTCATCCCTTTCCTTTCTTCAAACTGAAACAAATCAAACCCAAAAACCTTGAAATCTTGATCTCTAAGATGGGAGGAACCTGAAGATGTTCTTGCCTGCATCATCGGACCATCATGGTGTAAACCACCATCTATGATGCACGGATACTTCTGTTTGGTCCCGTATCCCGTATCCGATACTTGATTGGATACGATACTTGCCCGATACTCTCGGATACTCATCCGACACGTATCCTGGTTGATGGACACGAATTTGACATAATGGGTATGCGTATCCTACATTTAGGATACACCTATCTTGCTTTTAAAATACATTTACACTTTCAAAAAAAGGTAATGATGAGGAGAAAATTAATAGGAGACATCTATAATTGAAAGTTGCTAAATACAAAGAGCTTCCCTCTAATTAAAACGGTGAATACGACTCTCATACTTCTTCTACTGTATAAAGAGGATTAGATTTTGAACTTTCCTTCTCTAACAACTCAAATGTACTTGAATTTGAATGATGAATTATGTTTTAAAATGTATATTTTTGTTGCTATATACATTTTTATTTGCCGTATCCATAGCGTATCTTATCTTAATTTTTAGAGATTTTTCGTATCGCCGTGTCATGTCGTATCGTATCACCGTATCCGTATCCATATCCATGCTTCACAGACCACCATTGAAGTCGAGAGCTTCAAGCTCCGAAACTCGAACACAGGTGAAGTTCTCTATGCAAATCTTCTTTCATTATGTTTTAATGTTGCTTGGGACAAGATTTGTGGTGTTTTCCAGTTCGAAACCAGAGATTTAACCCCCTGCATTTGCTATACACTTTTCCCTAAATTCTAATCACCTTCTCCGTGCAAACTCCGACTAGTTTGTGGGTTATGGATCTCGAGCTCAGTTTAACTCCTTTCCAAGTACTGAAATACCTCTTTGCATGTGAAAATTTGTTGGGAAATCGCTATGGTTTAACAAGCATGCTCTTTGTTCTTCATTTCTAGAATCCAGCGAACCTTGCCGAGTCCCACCCGTCTAATCCAAGGTGGATTTGACCTTTCATCCTCCTAAATCGAGTTTGGGTAAGATTCTAGACCCTATTTGGGACATCAAATGGTATTTTTCACGTTGGAATACGTTGAAATCGTGATCGAGAGGCCCTAAATCATGTTCTGGGTTCGCGTTGCAGATTTCGACGAAGCTCCGGCGACCGACGATGGTGACCAGCGATGATCACCGTTAACTTTGATGGCAAAGACTAAGATTCCGTTAGTTTAATGGAATCTTCCAACGGCAGAGGTATATTCCATTAACTGTTTTAAAACCTTAACCGCACCGGCACATGGCACCGATGACGGTGAGTGCCACGTCAACTCATCAAACAGTGGCAGCTAGTACGACAGCGCATTCACCGACGACGACGGTCCACGACAGTGCGTGACATACCCGAGACCTATCCCTAGGTTTTTCGATGTTCTAAATCACGTGGTGCCCTCCGTTTGTGCAAATTCGAAGCCTAAATGGTAGAATTGGACACTGTTCTATTAAATTGATGTTTTGAGCTTATGTAGCTTATATTGATTATCACATGATTGTTAGAAGATCGGAAGGATTCGGGCAATGAGCCTATTTACGAAAGACGCTCTGCTTAGTTGTGAGTGGACCCCTTCGAAAAACTAAAACGTTTCTACATTATATATATATATATATATATATATATATGCTTAATATGTAGATGGATATTAGATGATAGTTGATGATATCTTTAGATCATCAATGATCTATTTTCACCACATGGTCATTATGTGATATGTCATATAGCATATAGCTATCTTCGGATATAGATTTATTTGCAGGTTATATTTGTCCTAGTTGATTCAATGGTTGATGATCATTACCGATATTGTGATTAACTAATTGATGCTAGTATATTTCTTGCTTGTTGTACTTATGTTAATGAATGCTAGCATGATTGGTTGATGGAAGGTATGATTTTGGACTTGATTGTTTTTCGATGAGATTGATGAATGAGATTTTTACTATTATGTTAGTATTGTATTATATAGTTTTCATTATTTATGTTTTCAAAATAGGGGTTATTATGTTTAACAATGATTTTATAATTGTGATAAAACTGGTCCACTCATGTTTTGTTTTATCGACCCTTTCAGGACGTAGCGAGAATAAGGAGAACATCGATGGGGATGAGTGGGCTTGGCAGTGAGGCTTTCATCCTTTGGAATTTGGGTGATGGCTCATTTACTACAGTTTTATCTTAGTTGTAACTTGTAATAATATTGGCATGATCGTGCTTTTGATTATGCATAGCATTGCACTGTTGTATTTACTGTTGTGTGAAACTTGCAGCTGCTCTGATGTGATGTGATAATAACAGGGCTAAACCCGAGATAATTTGTGTTCCCAAGTGGGAAGGATGATAAGTACTTTTCTTGTAGCAGCTTTGGATGTATATTTAATGAACATTTGGTTCAAATTCTTACACATCATAAATATCTTGCTATGGCTTCGTTATTAAGTTAGCTTGTGCCGTCGTCTCCAGATTAGGTCATATGGTCAATTTAATGTCAGACAGCACATCACGGCTGCGTAACTTTTGTTATTGGGATCGAATTATCATTACCTTAGTTAGGGATTTTCATTAAAAAAAAAATTGAATAAAGAGAAGATATGGAAACTGCGTTATGTCAGATGTATAATTTCAGTGCTGAATATTATTACATTTGCGAAGTTTGGATCTGCAAGTATACAATTTGGAATAAGGGACACATGGATTTTTAATGTCAAATTCTTAATTCCATGTGAATGATAGATATAAGAGAAATACCCATTCTGCTAAGTGTGTTCTGATTTTATATATGGGTTTTAACGAAATGCTCGTATTACTATTCACTTTAACGAAAAATCATATTTTTACACTAAAATGTCAAAACTGGTACTATTCACTTAACCCTTTATTTTGTCCTTATCGTTAAAACTCAAAGTTTTCAAGTCTTTTTCATTAGTTTTCCTTAAAAAAAAATTGGTAGAACATTGAAAAGAGTAATGAATGTTTGATGCTTTGTCGAAGTGATTATTGTTGTGCTACTCATGGGAAGGCCTCTCATATCCTTTCTTTTTAGCCTATCACCCGTAACTCCATTATAACCCAACTAAAGACCTTTTGTTCCAAGGAATTACTTGAAATTGATACTGAGTTAGATGGACAAGCAAGCATATGGCGTCATGAGATAATTTGAGTGAAACACATTAACACATAAATATGTGTGAGTGAGTGTATGCCCCGTGAGAAGGTCATTTGTTTGCATATCATGATTTTAAGAAGCTTGAAATTTTATTGGCATGGTTATACACACAATACTTGTAACATATCACATCGTCGAGGAGTGAGGAACCTGTAAGTTTTATATGTATATTCTTATCTCTACCTAGCATGAGGCCTTTTTGGGAGGTTACTGGTTTCAGGTTCCATCGGAACTTCAAAGTTAAGTGAGTTCGCGCGAGAGCAATCCCATGATGGGTGACCCACTGGGAAGTTCTCGTGTTTGAGGGCGTGGTTGGGGCTCAAAGCAGACAATATCGTGCTACGATAGAGTTGAGCCCGGAATGTGGTGGGGGCCCGGGCCGGGATGTGACAATACTCTTCATAGAGATGATTGAAAGGTTTTTGTTAACACTTAGAATATGGTTGATTCACTTATTTTGTGTTTACGAAAATTCTTGATTATTATGAATTCTTGATTGAGGTTCTTTGAGGTCACATAGGGGGAAGGTAACATTTTCCATGCTATTACTTTTTCAAGTTTTTCTTTCTTTGGCTCGAAGTCAAAATTAATCAACAAATAAAATGCCTCTTTTATTAGCACCCCACATAACGATGAATGCACCTCACATTAAAGTTTAATATTAAATTACTTATATATTTTACTATGCAATGACAATTTCGACCTTATAAGGTTTTCAAAAAGAAAAAAAAATTCTAAATACACCCTAAATTACTTTTAACGTATTATTTATCTTCTTTAATTCTCAAAACTCATGTTACCCTCCCTCCATTGTAGAGCAAAATCCTAACCAATTAAACTGCAAATAGATTGATTGAGAAAACTTATTGATGAATGGAATAAAAAATTGATGTTTGAAATCTTCAAATGAGAATATAAGACTTTATTATTTTTATTGTTCCCTACACAAAGTGAGAGATAAGTCTTTTGATAGAGAGAATTTAAAGTAAGATCAGATTCGTGGGTTTTTGTTTTTGTGGATCTACGAAATTGGCATATCTTAGATAAGACAAAATTTTGTACTTTTTTCCCCTTTTTTACTCATGAGTTTTTTTATTAGGAAAACTAGTAAAAATGGCTTGAAAACTTTGAGTTTTAACGATAAGGACAAAATAAAGAGTAAAATGAATAGTACCAGGATTGACTTTTCAGTGTAAAAATGTGGTTTTTCGTTAAAGTGAACAGTACCGGGAGCTTTTCGTTAAAATTCCCTTTTTATTTTATATATGATTTAAAATGCATAAAAAATACATACAGGAATTGTTTAGCACCCAAGAGCTAGACATCTCTTCTGGATATCTCCATATATCTCTCTTGCAGGCACACACATCATTTTCTAGGCACATGATCTTTAGAACAAGTAGGATACTTCCATGTTTTTTTTTTATAATTCCATGTTTATTCTTTACTTAAAATGAATAGGGGTTGGATACTTTCATGATCTTCCCCCTTCATTTGCACCTAAGTTGTGAAGAATGTGGAGTGTAAGTGTATATGGTAGATTTTATTGTAAACTAAACCAAAAACCAATCAAGTAATAAACAAAACACAACGATTTTAGAGTTTCTCCAATATAAGAGTACCTCTCTAATAACGGAAGCCTTATTGATTACCAACGAATACAAGAGAACTCACAAACACAAAGTGCTCTCAAGTACACAAACTTATGCCTCTCACAACTTTCACATACAAAACTCTATCCCACATCCATCTATTTATACTAATAGATGTCATACGTTTACACAAAGTCCCTAGAATATAGGAAACCAAATCTCAAACCAACTAGGAAACACAAATCCAAATATCTTGCGTCCAAGATATCCTAATCCTTTTTAGTTTAGGCATGTTGATTTAATGCCAAGAACCTCGTCTTTTCGTTTTATCATATATATCCATGATCTGTGAGAGTAGTCATCAATAAAAGATACAAACCATCTTTTTCCACTTAAAGAAGCATTCTTTGCAGGCCCCCAAACATCAGAGTGAACATAGTCCAAAATCCTTTTCGTTTGATTAACAATTGAGCCAAATTTCACCTTTGTTTGTTTGCTAAGAACGCAATGCTCATAGAACTCTGTATCTCCATTTTTTTCTCCTTTTAAACACCTTTGCTTGATCAATCCTTGCAATGCTTTTTCTCCTACATGTCCCAACCTCATATGCCATAATGCAGACAAGTCACTTTTATCACTTTGCACTTCATCACCTACCATAGCCACTCCATTTTTCAAATTTTTTCCTTGTAGCATATAAAGTAAGCTATTCTGAGGCCCTTTCATTATGACAAGTGCTCCTTTAGCAACTTTAAGCATGTTGTTATCAGAGTAAAACTTGTAGCCTTGTGACTCAAGAGTGCCTAGTGAGATCATAATTTTCTTCAGATTTGGGACGTACCTTACACCATGCAATTCTCGAATCACACCATCATGATGCTTGATCCTGATACTTCTAATTCCTTGAGTTGTACATGGGTTATCATCTTCTATATGCACAGTTTCATTCATAACTTTGAAGCTTGAAAACCAATGCCGTTGAGAAGTTATGTGATGGGTACAACCTGTATTGAGCACCCACTCTTTCATATAATCCACAATGCTCAATACAGTTAAGGCATAGACAAATTCCTCATGTTCGACTTCAACCATATTTGCTTCTGAGTCATCCTTCTTCTTTCTAGTCTTTTCTTTGATTTTAGGGCATTCATTCTTCCAGTGTTCTTTTTCATGACAAAAAGCACACTCATCTTTGTCCAAGAACTTCCTATTCTTTGAGACTCCTCTAGTACAAGACCTATTATTTTTCCTGTACGAACCGTTCTTTTCTTTCGATCAACCTCTCACCATCAAAGCTTCAGAGTTATTTCTTTCTTGCCTGTCAAGGTGTCTCACCTCATGATTCATAAGAGCACTTGAGATTTCATCATACTTAATTGTCTCCCTGCCATAAATCCAAGTAGTCACGAAAGGCTCATAAGATTTAGGCAATGAGTTCATCAGGATCAAGGCCTTGTCTTCATCTTTGATTATCTCTTCAAGATTTGTCAGTTCATCTAGAAGCTTGTTAAACTCTTCTAGATGGGCAACAATCTTTGTGCCCTCTTTGTACGAGAACCTGTACAACTTGCTCTTGAGATGCAGTTGATTTTCTGCACTCTTCTTCATATATTTTGTCTCCAATACAGCCCACAACTCCTTCGCAGAAGTTATGTTCATCACATCATACTTCTGTTGCTTTCCCAACCATAGCCGAATCGTAAAACATGCATGAGCATTCAATCTTTCCCATTCTCTTTTTTTCATCGAAAATGACATGTCTCCTAACACAACAACCAAATGTTGTTGTATCAGGACATCTCGAACCTCACATTGTCATATAGCAAAGTTGTTTGTTCCATCAAACTTCTCAATTTCAACCCTAGCACTCTGAATCGTCGTCTTGGTTCCACTAGTGCCAGACTTTTCTTCAACATCATCACCACTGGTAGAATCACCAATCTTCGTCATTACTTGATAGACACAACCCACATAAGAACCTAAGCTCTTGATACCACTTGTTGTAAACTAAACCAAAAACCAATCAAGCAATAAACAAAACACAACGATTTCAGAGTTCCTCCAATATAGGAGTACCTCTCTAACAACATAAGCTTTATTGATTACCAGCGAATACAAGAGAACTCACAAACACAAAGTGCTCTCAAGTATACAAACTTATGCCTCTCACAACTTTCATACACAAAACTCTATCCCACATCCATCTATTTATACTAATATACGTCATAGGTTTACACAAAGTCCCTAGAATATAGGAAACCAAATCCTATGCTAAAACCAAATCCCAAACCAACGAGGAAATACAAATCAAAATATATTGCGTCCAAGATATACTAATCCTTTTTAGTTTAGGCATGTTGATTAAATGCCAAATCCAACAAAGTTTATATAGAAAATGTAGGGTGTAAGTAGAAAATAAGGTGTATGTTGAGAGTGTATAGTGTGAACGTATTATGGAAAAATAAGTGAGGTGGATTAAGATTATTTTAAGTAAAAAAATAAATGTGGGTATATTAAATATGTGAGGTGTATTAAACACTATGTGAAGTGTTAATATAATAAGTCTAAAAATAAACTAATCTTCAATTAAGAAGGAAAGGAAGAGATAGAGGACATAAAGAAAGAGCGAGAGAGAAGCGTGGAGAAG